TTTTATCACATGTATTGATCCTTATATAAAGGATACTTGATTAATGAAAGAAGATACGAATTTTCCCATTCTTTTTCTCTCTATTCACAACAGAATTAACTTTATTTTTGAATTTACCAAATGAATTATTGAAATACGTGGAACACAATTTTATTATAATTTAAAAAGAAAATTAATAGAAGGCTGACTACTATGGGAGAGTTATTATAAAGGAGACACTACCACTTTGGACGTAATTATAGTTTGTTAGGTTGTTTGGATTATTACGACTATAAACCTCGGCGAAATCGCAGGGTAAAGAACCTCTCACTACTTTTAAAAAAAATATTGTTCTTAATACAATCATAGATACAATTTACTTTTGATATATGTTTGGGCTGGATTCGTTACTGAATCCGGCCCACTTAAAAGCCCAGATCAAAACTTATTGTTCGCAGAACGTTGACCAGAATCGATGGGCATGCGGTCCAAATCCGAAGAATTAGATATTATTTCCCTTAAGGCCCAGGTCAGCCCCGAAAAGGTCGAGTCAACAGGCGCGTGGATAACGAGCTGAGATTGAGCTAGGAGTGAGTCAACGAAACGAGTCAACGGAGTGGTTATCTCAGTCGTAGGGGCGAGATTCGCGGAGAATATGCCGAGATCGTGCCCGAGATATGCAGAACCGTCCTAGGAACGTGGAGCTGGATTGAGGAGCTGAGCTGAACTATAAATAGAGGAAATCCAAGTAGATTTCGCCAACTTTACACACACGCGAGAACTTAACACTATACTTTCATCTTGTAATACGTCTCAGACGAGACCACATTGTATATTCGATTCAATATAAATTCAGCTCCACTCTACTCTTCTTTTAATCGTTGAGCTTATAGATATTTCTTAGGACTAAAGTTTCTTCTCCGAATTCAAATACAAATACTCAGTGCAGAATTCAGCTTCCACAATACACATGCATGCGAACATAAACTCATAGTCATCTCTAATGGATTTTAAAGCATGGTTAGAGCACMTCCATCAATGTTTGTAAGAGGAGTTCTCAAAATTACACTAAAATATTAAATAATATTAAAATAGAAAATGTGTATCTAAAAATGGTGAGAACCCCATCTAAAAGATTCTCAAAATTCTCATTTGAGAACTTTTGGGTGGAGTTCTCACCATTTTTAGATACAGATTCTCTATTTTAATGTTATTTTTTATTTAATTATAGTTGAGAACTCCTTTCTAGAAACATTGATGGAGGTGGTCTTATTATCAATTCTCAAGTTGAGATAACCCAAATCAGATTTATGAAGACTATGTAATACAAAAAAAAAATAATTTAGATCTCATTTTAGGGTTTAGACAATAGTTTAATGTTCCGTAAAGTTAAAACATTTTTTTCTGAAAAATACAACCGTACGATACATTTTCACATAAAATGGTAGAGACAACCCTATGATACATTAACAACCACTAAATGGGTTTTCAAAAAAACACAACCCTATGACGCATTAATAACCATAAAAATGGTATTTTCAAAAAGATGCAATTATAGGATTCTTTAATAATCATAAAACAGATTTTTTGAAAATACGTAATCCCATGATGCAAAATAAACCCAATGTCTCTCCATTTTCCCACCCAATGAGCTCGATCGGAAACACAATAAGAAGGAAGGTAATTGTTTTGTCAACTACAGAAAACTCTTACATTCTTACAAATTATGAGATTTGGTCACAATTTAATGTACAAAATAAACCAAAAATCTCTCCGTTCAATGAGCTCAATAGAACACAAATACACAATAAGTGATTCCATAGAAAAAAACATTCATTTCTCTAAGTGAAGTTTAGTTCAAACTCGGATTGTAGGAGTCTGGTTGTATAATTTATCTAATCGGCGACAAATTACAAATTAAACAAGTGAACAAAAATTTTACACTACCAGAATCAAAAGAAGAAAGAAAGCAGAGGAAAGTGTTTGGTTCTAGTTGTCCATGGATCATCACTCTAATCTAAATAAGCTTCTTCCTTTCAAAGTACTGCTTCAAGTACAAAATCTGTAAACCAGAGACCACAATGCATATGCCTAGCGACATTATACTGTACCATGCGACTCGAGAGTTTGTTTTTTCGTTTACAATCCTCATCTCTGCTTCTCTGCAAGTGGTAAAAGAGAGAGAGATTTGTTTTTTGGTTTCTTTTCAAGATTTTCGAATAATATAACGGTTAGTTAAGCTTTACCTGCTTCTGAGGTTAAGTAGATTTTCATGGATGGCCTGAACATTACCTTCGAGTTTCTTTAGCTCCAGCTCCACACCCTAAGATAAAATACATAACCCGGTGTTATTATGGAGACTAAATTCAAAGCCTTTTTGGTTGTACAACCAGTTCTTAGATCAATGCGTGTTGAAGATTTTTAAAGTAACTTGTAGTAATTTGAAAATGGAGAACTGACCTCAATCTTCTCTTTTTTAGCAATGGAGTCCCAATCCTTGGTTGCAATTCCAGTTTTCCAGTCGAGGTTGATGCTAATATCTTTGTTACCATGACTGTGTCCTTCAGCGTTAAAACACGCTAAGTAGGTTCCTGATTCTTGTGTTGTAAATGCAAACTGACCATGCGTTGTATTTTCCACGTGGTGCAAAACGTTGCTATATGGTGATGTAACCTGACATAAAACATATAACTTCTGGTCACTCTCCTTAAGATCCCTCAATCTCAAAAACCTATATCTATATGAAACATGTATGCATCTACTTTGTGCACGTCTTCGTAACACATGTGATTAAAATTTCTACTATAAATGATTCATCAAGCTAAGCTAGTAGCAGGGAGAGTCAATGGCTACCATCTAACTAATGAAACATAGGAGAGTGAGATTTTGAAGAGATATATAGCCACTATAATAGATAGTCAGGAACATAGAGAAGAATATCATTCATCTTAACTAGAAAGCTCCAGGTCGTAACTAATCATCAGTTCCAAACATTTTTACTCTGGATTACACACTTCATTAACAGACCTAGCTATTAACCAACTCGAAACAAATAGTGACGTAAAATGCTCACAATCATGTATGAATTACTTGAAAAAGATGGTCTTCTCTACCCCATCTAATCACAAATAAATGCTTAAATCCTGAACTCAGTAAATAACCACACCTATTGCGCAAAGCTGTTTTGTCTTATCACACAGAAAGATTTTTCTTTTCCTATGAATCAGCTACTTGAGATGGTTTTAGTTTTCAGTCCATCAAGATGAGAGATCAAATCTTTCGCTGATCGAGAGACGAGTTCTGTACTTTGCTTAGACCGCCCTCTCTAAGTAGCAACTAGCCTAACAATTGAATGCACAATCAAAGAAAGGCGTGCACGCCTATATTCACATAATGAGCAAAATTTCCAAATTAAGGAAACTTGAATCGATCTCCGATTCAATTAATGCGTTACCAATTCAATGTGAAATGGTGACAATTTTTAGAAAGTAATGTCGATTCACATTAAATTTCCCAAATAACAACGGATCGAAGCACTAAAACTCCAGATTCAAAATCACATATCAAGTGACGAACATAAACAAACTGATTCGAATCCAGAAAATCACTAAGCTATTATTACCTTGACGGAGACAGTAGGGAAGACGGAATGTTCGTCGGAGATGACGAGGTAATCGGCCAAGACGACAACGTTGCTCTGGATTTCCTCTGAAACGCACTTCGTTCCGGTCGGAGGTACGTTGAGCCACAAGCCCTCACAGACCGGGATAAGCTCTGGCATCACCAGAAAGATAAAGAGAGCCGAAAGTACGAGCGCCGTCGGGAAGCCACGTTGCTTCATCTTCTTCTGAGCTTTCGAAAGTTTTCCGATTGTATCTAGTCAGATCTCTTTTGTGGCTTTTCTACCAACGAGATTTGTCTTCACTGCATCAAATTCAAAATCAACTAAATTCTTCACAAGTTATTTTTTAACCGGTTTACTTTGAAAAGTCAATGATTTTAAAAGCGGACTAGACCAGCGATCGAATCGGATTTAACCGAAAACCGAAGATAAAACCGGATTGAGTTGACATTCAAACCCAAACATAGTTAAATCGGTTAAAAAGCTGATTTAAACCAACAAAAACTTAGAAACCGGCGATCCAATCGAACCGTATTAAACCAAATTTAATTGTTAATGCGATTAATAAAAGTCTAATTCTTTATTAACTCATTATGTTCCATACCGTATTATCTTTACATCCGAACCGCACCTATAAACCCATTAAGGCCTAGCTGGACCAGAGTTATGACACTATGGTATAAATACGTCGTTACAATCGAAGTCGATTTTAGTACGATCACTAAAGCATGGATTTCAACCCCAAGTCCAACTTCATTACGATTAAGCGTCACCCGACCACACAACTAACATCACTGCAAAGAGGACCAGCTCGAAAGCAGCACAAAGACGCTCTGAAACCCCTTTTGAGATCAAACATACCTACAGAGGATCTGACTCTAAATCATCACTTAGCTCAGCCATTTAAGATAGCGCACCATAGGTAAAGTTCACACTTCATAGACAAAACCAATAAACCACGCGGTACTAAGGTGGGCCAAAGTTGTGGCGAGCTCGCCACTTTGATCTTCTTTAGTTCATAAAAGCAATTGAACGAGGAATAGCTGAGCTAACCTAAGCCAGCCAGACCACCTCTAATCAAGATTTTTGTATAAAAACCTTCAATCGAGATAAGTCGTCTAAACAATATCAAATAATTGAAAGGCTCTAGACAAAGCTAAAAAGCAAGCAAGTTGGAAGTATATCCATAAAAGCCCATATAGGCAGAGTTCAAATCCATATAACCCGATAGACAAACCGGGGGATAAATGCCCTTCCGGACTTTAGGGCAAGTCAAAATGAAGTCATTAGTACAAGGGAAAAGCGGTATCAAGGAGGACAACTATGGATAGCCAAGCTTTCTCGTTTAACAGACTTGGCGGAGACCTCCGGGAGGGCAAGATTTTTGATCGAGAAATCGAATACCACTGCATCAATAAAAGTCTCCTCCAGAGCAAGCCTGCGGACCGTCATGTACTCCTACTCCCCCTTGACGGTGGAATTCCTCTGGGAGAGATGTTCGAGCAGTTGGAGGTTGGCTATCAACTCATGAAGGTGAATCTCCGCTTTTACTTCAATCTCCTTCATGAAAAACTTTTCCTTTATACCCTCCATGATCTCCCTATACCGTGCGGACAACTCAGCAAGCTCTGACCAAACGGCGGTCGCTACCGCATCGTCCCTTGATTCTATTAGCTAACGGTGCTCCCCCCTTTAGTAAATGAACCATGTCGTCAGCCGTCTCCAAAGCATTCCTAAAAACCAACCCATCTATTTTATCTTGATGCATATGAGCGTGAATGCTTCGATCGTCGGCCAACTTTTATCCCTTGTAGTGTCCGCAAGTGCAGCCTTCAGCTTCTCAACCTTCTCTATGCAAGGAGTTATGCGGAGGCGCATCTCGGCATCAGCCACTATGACATTAGCTACTTTCATCGCCTGGCAACAAAAGAAAAAAGGGAAAGCACTCAAACAAATGAAGTTTAAACCCTGCATGGGTCGAAGAAAGAAAAACATAGAAGCCAACCTCGCCAAAAGAGTTGGCCATCTTAATATAGCCTTCGTAAAGGATGAACTCCCCTACGTCTGGAACTGAAGAGTCAGCGGGAACACAACGAGGGAAGAACAAACAAATTTGAGCTCATGGAGTTGTATATACCGGCAAAGGCACATGCAAGCTAGCCGAGGGCCCATCCCTACGAGGGGGCGTGTAATAGCCGCACCTAGGACTATGAATCCTACCGTAGGTGATAGTCAACTTATGTATTTCACTCCTCTAAAATATCTTTATTACATTGTGTGGTGAAATTACAACGTATGGAACTCTACACTACCACGCTTTGGGAAAATCTTCACTGCATCTGCCACATCCTCTTGCATGGCCCTCCCATGGTCCACTTGACTGGATCTTTAATCCTGCAATCCTGGTAAGGGGGTGAGTATTGAATACTCAGTAAGATGGTCTACTCCATCTCACGACTTAACTAAACCTATCTACCATATTCTACCATAACTCCACATGATGCCTTAGCACCATGTGCCAATCACACACCACATATCGTAACTAGGTGAGCCCACCGGCTGACCCCTAGTTTTCATTCTCCTCACCACAATCTCGGACAACTAAGGTGTCCACCTGACACATTCAGAGTTCCCATAGAGTAGTACAAAGGTGTCCCTCCAGACACATTCAGAGTACTTTCACACCACACACACAACTATGGAACAAAGGTGTCCCTCCTAACACATTCAGAGTACCATATACATAGTAGTCAGCCCTTCAGCCAATTTTCACTCCTCAAGACTCCTCGAGCCCTTTCAGCGGCATCTTTATGCGGCTAGGTCTTCGTGCCACTATCTCAGACCAAACAAGCAAGTCGGCGACGAATGCCCATACAAACGCCCCTATKCATTAATATAAAGGTGGCACTGTGAACCTACTATCCTACCAAATTGTATGTCATACTACTCTAGCCTCTCCTAAGGTTCACAATCATTATCTATTCCATTTTAACCTATTCCATTATTCTACGTTCTCAATCAATAGCCAAAACATTTCAAACAATACATTTGCCACGTATGGTCAACCCCATGTAAGCATGTCTATCCCAATACATTATGCATGACAACATCTATGGCCATACAGGAGTCGTCCCTGCAAAAATACACACATAAGATTATCTATTAATTGTGGATAGCTCATAACACCAACTTGTACTAAGGAAAGCCTAAGCGATCTCATGTCTATCCTCTATCCCCTTGATCACAAGCCATCTAATTCGAGTTTATCAAACCTTTTTGACTCTTCTCTTACTAGACCTCACTTACGACCTTGTAGCGGGTTAGCTAAGTAGCACTAGTACAACCATACGATTATTCTAATAGCTTTTCTGCCTGGTTGAAAGCTTGAAATGAACCGACTGGGATCGGAGGAACTGGGGTTGAGCAGGAGGAGAAATTTGGTCGATGCCTATAAGGTTTGGCCACTGAGTATAAACTCTCATAATCCAAAGAGTTTAGAACGTATCCCAACCTGTCTAGTCCCATCGAAGCAAATCCATCCGGAATGATATGGAATCACTCACTAGAGCGCAGGATGTGTTCCCTGCAACGGTAAGAAAAAAACAAATGAGGCCAATGGATGTATAAATTGTTGAAACACATAACATGAAGGTTCCGAGTTCTTGAGAAGCAACTCATCGACTGATGCGACAAAATGGACGGGAAACCTTAGTAAGTCCTCCATCCATTCAACTGATTTGGTCGAAACTTTGAAAAAGAAGAAATTCTTATTCTAGCCAAAGTCACGAGAAGAACATGATGGAGTGATAGTTATAATTTCTTCCGGGGAGTGAGGTAGAAGCACACTTCGATTTTGAGTTCATCCGAGCCACATAGAAATCTAGGAACAGACTAGTGCTCAAGTTCATCTCATCCTCGTAGGATATGATGAAGTTCAGAAATTTCAAAATTTTGGTGAGAAAAAGAGGAATCGGGAAGGTTAGCCCGCATGACTTAAAGTATCATAAGTAGGCGCAGCACCACCCTCCCTCCATTGTTTTCGGCGAGTCTCATCCTGTCGAAAGGCGTAACTCAACCGACAGAGGGACGCCGAACTTTTCGTGTAGGTCAAAAATATATTTTGGGTGTTCTGAGAGGGTTCGTAGGGACCGAATTGAGGACCCAAAGTAGAAGCCGACATGATCTTGAACAAAGGATTCGAGAGTAGAGGTAGACCAGGTAGCTCAGAAAACTGAAGAGTATGAGAAAGCAAATAGGTTGAGGTGAATGTAAGACCAGATCTGAAAATCAAGGTTAAAACCGACTAATATTGAGGTAGAGAAACAATTTTGGGACCTGCGATAAAAGATTTGGGGGGGGGCAAGATATGATGTAATAGTGAAAAATTGATATTTTGCGATTCCTAATGCCACCATGATCTTTCGTATCCCTTGATCACAACCGTTGGATCAGAGGCTGATTAACCAAGCGGAGCGGTTAAGAAGATCTTTAGCTATGAATTGGTTTTGATTTTCTGGGTTTATCTCGAATGAAATTTCTTAAACAAAAGAATATGTACGCAACCGCCTACTAAGTAATTATCACTTAATACTTAGTGGGCTTGGGGCAACTATTGGAACTAAATTCATCACCGAATCTGGTCGACTCAAAGCTCATAATAAATATATATGATCAATCATGAAAGGATTGGGCTTTGGGGCCAATCGTGAAACAAGCCCAAGTATTGTAAAAAGAGTATGGGCTGCAACGACAGGCCCAAGTCAGCTCAACACGCGATTAGTCAACAAGAGCTGAGTTTACCAGCTAAGAACGAGTCAAAGGGAACAAGGACTCAACGGCACCTACGATAGTCGCTGAGAATATGCCTCAAACGTACTTGAGATACGCGAAGCTAACCCTAGATACGGGGAGCTGGATCGAGGAGGTGGACCGAGCTATAAATACAAGGAATCTGAGCGGAATTCGCTAACTTTTTAATCTACGAGAACTTAACACTAGACTTTAGCTTTTAAACACATCTCACTCGAGATCTCTTTGTATATTCGATCCATTATATTTCTTATTTTTTTATCAGATTTATAGATATTTCTTAGAACTAAAGTTTTTTCTCGGAATTCACATGTAAATTCTTATTGCAGAATTTAGCTTCCACAAACGCTATAGTTATTTCAGTTATTTTAATTATTAAAATGTTTTGTAGCACAATTTGAAGGCTATAT